GGAAGACCACCCTAAGTGCACACTATCTCAATGACTTAGAGAACTCACATCCCCGTACTAGAGCCAAACCCTAGCCATCTCAACTCAACAATGTTCCAAGATTCCAAAATAAGCCAAATAAGTTCATAACTTATACTTATTACTACTACATAGTAACAAGTTAGCAATATAACTCTCAATTGTGCATAATAAGCATTTCATATCCATAATGCTACGAAATCACAAGCCAACAATATATTCATATTAGAAGCATACTCTCATGAATATAAATTTAACAACAATGCCCTTTAATGCATATAACACAATCAAGTGAATACTTCACAAGTCTAAATCCATGATCTTAAAATAGAAGCACCTTCTAAAACATGATTAAATCCATGGATAAACAAGATAGAATCTAATTACATCAAAATAATTAAACTCTCTAGATTTCAAATCATCTCCAATTGGCCTCAATTTAATATATGATGAAAGACATATCATAGTCACTACATATATTCACACAAAAGCTTAATTAGGCCCATGAAACCACAAAATAGATTTTAATTAATACTCTTAATTAAAGTCTCCAGATTTTCAAACTCAACCAAATGCTCTCAAATTAAAGTATGTTAACAAACATGCCAAAACTTAATTTAGAAGCATAATACAACTCAATTTCATGCAAGGTACGGCCATGAACTTTAATCTTTCACAAAAGATGAATATTAATTAAAAAGAGCAATTCTTATTTAATTAATCCAAATTTAATATATGTTAACCAACATATTAAAGCAAGATTTTCTACCATGCCACAATTCAAATCAAAGTTATATATCATCATGAATTTTAAATCTTATACAAAGAATTAAAAATTACTAACTTTCTAGATTTGATACAAGGCACACATATAAGTTGTATAATCCTGCTAAACACTCAATAGTTGACACATAAAAGCCTAAAACATTCTCTACCTCCATTTGAGATGAAATCTCAAATCCCTACCAAAATGGAACGGCTCCGAATCCGATGAAACTTCTAGGTTTTGTCGGGGACAACACGGTGATCATAACCTCCAAGGAAGCCCCATAAAAAACACAACTTGACTTCAAACCCAAACTTAAGAAATGGCTAAAACGAGATTCCAATCGGTTGGAATCGAAGGCCTCGCCGAGGGGAACAATAAACACTGAGGCATTAAGGTATTTCATTGAAGGGAAGAAGCTCAAAAGAAGAGAGAGAAGATGGCAGTCATGGCTGCCTCTAGATCCGGCTAAGAGAGAGGAGAGAGAGAGCAAAAATCTGATTTTTCACTTAAAGGCCCCCTATTTATAGAAAAACTCAAAAAGTGCCCCGAACGTGCCCCGCCGGGTCTGGAAAAGTGAAATCTAAGCAGATGCGCTCATACAGCAAAACTCTATGAATAAAAAAGAGTCCAAATGAGAAAATATGAATAATGGAAGAAACGGCGTTGAAAACTGAGTCCCGAGTAGAGAGTTATGCCCAAAACAAGTTTGGCGCAAACCGGGGCCAGAAACCTTGAAACTGGAAAACATTGTCCAGGAGGAAATTCTAAGAGTCCATGACTCGATAAAATGTGAAAATGAATCCCATACAAGGATCCAGGCTCAAAACAAGGCATTGAGCAATAACTTTCATTAATTGCACAATGGCCCCTTCAAAATGTGAAAACTGTAAAACTGCCCTAGAATCCAAAAGATATTTTCTTAGATACCCCTGAAACAAAATATCTTCAAAAGATATTTATGAAAAATACCCCAAGAAAAGAAAAAGTTTCCAAAGAACTTTGCACTTATGCCCGTATGGATACCGGGAGCAACCAGAGTACTTTCTCACGAAAGTGAAGATACGTATCTCATAGAAATCACTGAGAATGAAGATACGTGAAGTCAGAAACCAACTCCGAACACAAGAAGTGTGGTTGCGCAAACAGAGTGACAAACGAGGAAAAGACGAAATAGGAAAAAAGACAAAATAGGGAAAAGACAAAAAGTGAATAGTGTCAAAAAACGAAAAATACGGAATTTGACTCGGTCCTCGAAGGAAGTTATCAATCCACAGAAAAGAGTCTCGGAAATCACTCCAGAGCACTCGAGAAGACACTAATCGTCAAGAAACCAAACTCAAAAGGGAAAAGATAAGGGAAAATTTTTTTCCGAAAAATCCGGGTCATTACACACTAGGTATAGGAAGCAAACTTAGGGGTTACTCTAGCCCCAAGTAGATGTCTAGCCACTCATTAAAGTAGTCATCTAACCCTCAAGGGCTATCTCCATAGTAGGAATGACCTCCTTCTTAATGGAAACCCTAGAAGAATAGAAGAACTCCCAAACATGTGTCAAAGCTCTCTCTAGTCTCTAGCCTCCTCTCCAAGATATGAGATGTGATGATATGAATTGAATCCTCCTCCTCCCTTTCTCTCTATGATGTAAAAGAGGCTCAAAATCCTTATATAGGAGGCTCAAGTGTCACACCCAATGGTCTGGATTCGTGCACATGGTTCTTGCAATGATTGCACCATGAGCCAACTTTTAATGAGCTAGACTCTGTTTTAATTCGGACTTGAGAAGGTTCGATCGATCGAACTGTGTTGAGTTCGATCGAACTTTAGTGAGATCCATCGAATGCTGCAGAGATCGAACTATGTTTTAATGCCTTTTTGAATAAAGACAAATCTCTGAGATATTTTGGGAAACAGACAAGAGTGGTAGGTGGGGTAGTAGGTATGGATAAGATCGAATAATTTAGATCGATCTGAGAAAGGTTGGATCGATCGAAGATGGTGAGATCTTTTGGATAAGGACAATTGCTTGGATCCATTTGAGTGAAGTGAGATCGATCAATGTGAGATCGATCGAAAGTATTCCTAATCGATCGAAGATGTTGTTTTTCCACACTTTGCTTCCACTTTGCTCCTTTTTTCCATCCAACTTAAGTTAACTTCTTTAATGATCTTATTTGGCTAAATTAACTTATTTTTGGGATAAGTGCCTGAAAAGGGCAATAACATGAAATTAGTCTAAAACGGGAAAGTAAGATAGATAAAGGTCCTAGAATACCTAAGCTTAAGGGATTTAAATGCGCACTTTTTAACACTCATCACACCCCCAAACTTAAATATTGCTAGTCCCTAGCAATAAATTACAAAGTAAAGGAATGAAATGAGCAACTATACAACTATGAATCTATAAAGAAATAAATGGATAACGCCACTTTCGTAGGGAACACGATTGCATTTAGCATATACAACAAGCCTTTTAAACTCCTAGGTTACCCCTAGTGAACGAGTGAAGTCTCGTGAGGGTTTCCAAAAATGATACCCACAAACATTAAGCTCATTCTCACAAAAGAGGCACTAATATTGTAAACAAGCATTGGGAGAAAACTACCTCAAGTATGCAATTTTTCAAACATTTCCAAGTAATCTCCCAAAATTTCAACATCAAACAAGCAAGTATGGTCCTCCACATATCAAGAAAATGATCATGCAAATCAAAACAACACTAGAATCCTTTTTGAGTGGACCAGCATCAAGTATGTTGCTATCTAAGCCAACTAAAGAAATGATCACATCCTTACCCTCAAATTAGCACACAAATCTAGTCCCAATCATTAAAACAAAGAGTGGACTTGCACTTATTCTTTTCACTCGATTTTTTTTTTTTTACTATCCTAAGGATCAAAGATGGAAGTATGGTGCAATGTAGTGATCTATTAAGCTTGCTAGCGATCCATGAGGTCGAGCGTTAGGTTAATAACTCCCAAACTAGACGGCTTTAGGGCATTAGGCGTTCAAACACCCTTAAGGACTTACAAGCTCAAATCAACTAGGCTACAAATCAAAACAATCTCCATCTAATCATTTCTCACTTCTCACCTTTTGGGAGAAGTCCTCATTTTTTTATTACTTTTGTAACCTATTTTTTTTTTTTTTAACCTAGAGTTTAGGCCCTCCACCTTTCGGCGCGAGAAATTCAGTGCTTGATGAGGCTAGAATCCTAGCTACTCAATGAAAGGGATTGTTATCCACTTTTGTCAAAATGGAAGCTTTCAATGCACTACTAGCCCAATTGGGATATAACCAATTCAATAATCAATAAAGCATGTACCCCACACATGAATGCTAGTGTGCGTCTGTGCTAGTGTAGAATCCTAGAGTGAATCTCAAAATAATTACAAAATCAGGATGATGTGGACCACAAATGCAACCAAGATATCGATCTTTTAAAAAATTTTACTCCTAAATGGCATCCATAAGGTATACAAGGAGTATTGGACTCTCAAGTCAAGCAATTTTTAAATTTTAAGCAATATAGTCCTCAAAAGATCAAAATCACAGCTAGTTATGGACCAATCATAGAAAATCCCTCAAATACACTAGTCATGCTCAAAATTTTGAATTGAAAGCAAAAACTGCAAATAACACCATTACCCCCAAACTTAAACGACATAATGTCCTCAATGTGCAAAAATAATAAAGGAAAGAGTATACCAGTGCAGCTATGGCAAAGAATGGCTGGGACATAAGTATCCAAAGTGGGTGGTATGACCCCCCTAAACTCGGGATTAACTGTGGTCCTAAAAAGATGGCACTTGGATAAAACTCATCAGATAACAAAAGGGATAATAATAGTGCACAGTGGACATGCAAGTGTAAATGGGATAAAGGAGAGAGGAATAAGGGTGGTCCTGAAAAAAATTTGGACAGCACTCTCTTTCACTGAAGTCACTGGGATGCACCTGATAAATGGAGTCAATCACAGATGAATATATCAATATAGAAACTAGACATCCAAAAATATAACATGCATAGAAAAATAAAAATAATGTACATCACAGTGTCTGGGCCAACAGACTGGCTGCAAAAATATCATAACAGTATCAATATAGCAGTCAAGTATCACAGATATATAAATGAGGGTAGAGAGATAGAAAGATCAGGCAGAGGAGGTCGGGCAAGTAGGGTGTGATCCCTAAATATCTCTGGATAAATCCTACAGCACAGCCATGATGCCTGAGTGGAGAGATGCCACATCAGTGCTGAGGGAGGCCACATCTGACCGAAGAGAGACAACGACGTCCTCCAAGGTCTGTATATGCTTGCCTAGGCTAGGTGTCTATGCTGGAGCATCAGGGATGACTGGGTCAGGAGAATGATGCTCATCTTGACTAGGTGTCTAAGAGTGATATGGTGACTCTGGTGCTGGCTCTTGCTCTAGATCAATATCTATATGCATGTCCATAGCTATCGGTAGGTCTGCTGGATTATGCTCTGCTGGCACTGCTGCTGCTGCTGCCTCCATCTCTGCAAGCTCTGCCTCCTCAGCTACCAAAACAACATCCTGTTCTAAGCTCTTTATAAGAGCATTGTAGCTCTTTTTCCAATCCTTCTTAAGAAAGCTGCAGGCCTCTGACTCAGAACGCTCCTGTGTATGGGTAGCGTTGGTCCCACAGGATCTGAGTAATAAGATGAGCGAAGGGGGGATACTTAGCCCGCTTGGGCTTGGCCTTGCTAATATAATCTGTACAGAGCTTCATCATGACACTCTAGTAGAGTGCCGGGATAGATACCTAGTGGCCTATATAGAATCCGTATAAAGTAGCCAAAAAGTCTGAATGCCTCTGGATCTTATGGCCCACTATAAATACATTTCGGTACAAGACCGAATTGAAAAACCATAGGTCGTCGGGCAGATAAGTCCGAGTGGTGAATGTCTATCTAGCTGCATAGTGGCCAATCAGTGCAACGGCCATGTCTGCATCAGAAGGCCTCTGCAAAATAGGATAATGAAGGTCGGGAAGGTAGACATGAGGGCACCGATAAGATCTGGCTAATGTGTCAACTGTGATCCGGATGGGGTAGCCATCGATGGTGGTCTGTAGCTCTGATAGATTACCCGAGGCCAACCGGAGGTTCTGGAAGAATATCCGAACAAGCCGCAGGAAAACAAGATAAGTAACTGGCGCCAGAATGGCTAAAATGCCGCGCTGCTCAATGTCATCAAAAGCTGCCCGAGTCAAGACTGACCGGGAGAAAAAAGTAATGTCAAACACCAACTCATGCGCCATCTGAAGGCGTGAGTATCTCAGGAGAGGTCTATCACGGACTTGGCCATGCTGTGCCGGTGGTGGTGAAAGAGAAGGTACATGCTCAGCCTCATCTGAAGATGAAGAAGATGCAGTAGCTGAAGACTGTAGTTTGTTATCAGCTGATGAAGATTGAGCTGGAGCTTGCTCAGGATACCCTTCTAACTGCTCAGGCTGCTCATCCTGATCAACCTGCTCTGGAGCTAGATCCCGAGCATGAAAAGGTCCTGCTGGCTCCTCTATTCTTTGTCGTACTCTCTTCTCATATTGTCAACGGGCAACTGTCTTAACCCATGCCATGGCCTGCAAAAGGAAAAGAAACACTTGCAAAGTCAGTAACAGATAATAAAGATTTAAAGCACAACATATAGAAATATGTATGTCAAGTAAGATAGATAACTCAAAATAATTGACATGAATCTATGCAAGTGACGACGCAACCAAGTAAACAGTGACTAAGTGAAGCATGCTAAACAGTATAAGTATGGAATGCATCCAATGTGGAAAACACAAGCATTGGGTATCAATAAACTAGCATGAACATTATAGATGGTGTGTGAAGTGTACATATGCAAATCTGTGAAATTTGATTGATCATGACTTGAATGAGATCGATCTCTCTCAGATCAATTAGGACTAAGTTCGATCTATCTTTTTATGATCAATTAGAGAAAACTTCGACTGATCGAACTGCTTTGAGAAATTCGAAAAGTCACAGATCTATAACGTGGATGGCACGGGGGCCTCCAAGCAAGCTTGTGGGTCCCTTTACACTTCAACAACACAAGAATGGTCACTTGAATAGGCCCTTGACCCCCAAAAATGAAATTGAAATCAAATATATGCAAAACTATATACAAATATATATACATATATATATATATATATATATATATACATGCTCAATATCCTCAAAAATAGCAAGAAATCATCATGGAAACTTAGATCTAACATGGAAAGCACGAAAAACACAAGATTGAAGCTCGAAATCAAAAATAAAACTTAGAATTCACCAAGCCGAATGAAAGAAGTGGAGACGAAGGAGATGAGATGAGGTCGAGAGGTGGAGATGAGATTTTGAAGCTCGGGAAACTCGCCGGAGGTTGGGAAGATGGATTGTAGCGGTGGGAGGCGATGAGGGTTGAGATCGATAGCCAAATCGATCAAATGACCCTATTCGATCTCCGCCCTATTCGATTGATCTAGAAAAATCTATGATCGATCGAACATAGATCGATCTGAAAAGAACTCAGATCGATCTAACCTTGTAAAACATATTTTTGAAAATTTTGAACATTTAAAAATTAAAAATTAAAAATTAATAATTCAAAATATTTTTGGATTTTTGGAAAAATAAAATAAAATAAAAATCTTTTTGGAATTTTTTGAAAATATTTGTAAATAAAAATAAAGAAAATATATATTTTTTTAAAATGAAAATTTTTAAAATGAAAATAAAAGTAAAGATTAAAATAAAAATCTTTTCAAGGATTTTTTTTTTTTGAAAATAAAATAAAATAAACATTAAAAATCAAAATGCAGTCAAAGTTAACAAAGGAACACAGATCGATCAATCCAAGATTAATTTGGAAGATACTTCGACCGATCGAGCAGGTGAAAACCTGCAGATAAGTTCGAACGATCAGATAGAGAGCTGTTTTATGCAGGGTTCCAAAATTTTCTAAGTGTTGGAACAGAAGATCAATCTAAGAAGAAGTTGGATCAATCTTGGAATTTCAGATCGATCACAAAAAACTTCGCACGATGGGACAGAGAGGTGATTGGATGCAGGTATGAAGTTCAATCGATCGAACCTCTTTTGAGATCGATCAAATAGGCACAAAATACCTAATTTCAGAATGAAAGTGTATGCATTCTCAATCAAAATCCCTAACAATGTGTATGAACCCGTAATATATCTAGATAACGCAAGAAATGAACGGTACAATAGAAATGAGGGAGGAATATGATTGTAAACCCTACGAAGCATTGCTAGTCTTTAACGTCTTTAGCAAGACGTTGGGCTTTTTTAGCCCGAATCAAATATCTTTTTATGCATCCCTTCTTTGGCAGGGTGAAAAACACTTTAAATCCCATCCAATAAATGGTTTTCTAAGGAACTTGTTGGATTTAGATCAAAAGGAATTGACGGTCTTTCATCAAGGCAACTCTTGGGCTTCCATGCCCTTGGAACACTTGGTTTTAATACAATTTTCTTTGAATTTTGATGGTGGCCGTTTCTATACGCCAAAATAATGTAGTGAATGTAAGGTTCAAGAAAAGCCTTTTGGGTCAAGTTTAAATTTATGAAAACCACTACTACCACTACTACTAATGTAGCAAGAGTGAGTAGGGATTGTCTCAAGGGATTAGAGGGGCACTAGTAATGGAAACAATGCTTAGGTTTAGTAGGTCGAGTGATCAAAATGTGGTTGGTTTGGTTGATTAAACTACAATTAAGACTAAACAAACTCAATATAAAACAAGAAATTAAAGGATAGAGAAAATAAGAAAGAGAGAGAGATCTTGAGACTTAGAGGTCACCACTAAGCATCACCTTTATATACACTCAATTCATAATTAATGAGGGGGAAAACATATGTTGCAACAATAGTGAGTATGTGTGGTTGTTTCAGCAAGCATGGATGACCAATTAAGTATATATTGTCTAAACAACACAATGAATAACACAATATATCAAACTAAGCCATTAATCCTTCATTTAAGCTCACAATCCAAACACATCACATGATTAGAGAAATATACTACTTGCATTCATAAGTATAGAACATCAAACAACAAGCATGGATTGTCCTCCCATTTAACAACTAAGGTAACTACACTTTATCTAAGTTAATGACATGAAAATTAAACTAATTAAACTAATTAAACTAAGGGAGAGGCACACTCCATCAAGAAATGAGTATGAACCATCAAATAAACCACAAGAGCATTCTATTAAGCACTATGTCTTGACAATCTCTAGATCTATAGCATCAACACATATAGACATGCATCAACAACACGAGCTAGAGATAAACACATGAACATCTATTCTAGCATACATAGACATATGGATAGAATGAAATGATCAATTGGAAGAATTAAATCACACAAATCATTGAATAAACAAGATCTATGTATATAAAAATGTCAAAACATGTATTACAACACAAATCCCTTCAAAAACACATAAATCAAGGTAAAAAAGCATGCTTAGGGTTAACTCTAGCCCCAAGAGGATGTCTAGCCACTCATGGATGGTGTTTTCCAACCCTCAAGGGCTATCTCTATGGTAGAAATGCTCTTCTTCTTGAAGTAGATGGAAGACTTCCTAAGAATGTGTCTCTAGCCTCCTCTTCTCTTTTCTTCCTCTCTAAGAATGATATCAAATGTTGTATCTAAGAAACTCTTGTAAAAGTGGCTCATAATCCTTATATAGGTAGCTCAAATGTCACACCCAATGGTCTAGGCTCGTACACAAGGGCTCCTCTAATGATTACACCATGAGACAACTTTTAATGAAAGGGAAATTGATTTAATTCCCACTTAGGAGGGTTCGATCGATCGAACCTATGCTTAGATCGATCAAACTTGGCTGAGATCTATCAAACTTTGGCTAGATTGTTCCTCTCATGGTGGCACCTTTTTGGATAAAGACAAATTTGAGATATTTTGGGAAAGAGACAAAAGTGGTAGGTGGGGTGGTACAACAGGATAAGATGGAATTTTTTCGATCGATCTGATAAATGTTGGATGGATTGAACTTTGTGGGATCTTTTGATAAGGACAAAAGAGCTTGGATCCATTTTGGAGAGTCTAGATCGATGCTTCGTCGATCGATCGAAGAAATGTTGTGATCGATCGAACTTGCTGATTTCCACACTTTGCTTCATTCTGCTTTTACTTTGCTCATTTTTTCCATCCAGCTGGAGTTAGCTTCTTTTAAGCTCTTATTTGGCTGAATTAACTTATTTTGGGGATAAGCACCTGAAAAGGGAAATAACACGAAATTAGTCTAAAACGGGAAAGTAAGATAGATAAAGGTCTTAGAATACCTAAGCTTAAGG